CCCAACACTCTGCTGAACAATAAATGCTGCTTAATAATAGTGCTGACAAGGACAGTCTTTTTACACTTTATCTGCTCTTAAAAAGTTGCATATTTGGAACTTCATTATGCACATTTGTACTAATATATATATATATATATATATATATATATACACACACAGTATATGTTATGGTATGTTGTAGGCCTAATAAGAAAGTCACAATTCTTAAACTCCAAATTAGACTGTTTGACAGCGTATAATAACTGGGGGGCCCTGGAAAGGGCTGGTAAACTTGATTTTTCCTGTTGGGTGGGCTTCAGGTCAACTGTCCAGGCAGCACAGTTGATAATTACACCGTGTCCATGCAACTTGTGATCAAAAAACACAGGTCGTGTGAATTATTTGGATCACCCAGACAGCTGAACAACTTCAACAAACATAGAATGTAGAAATCAATCAATTAAGAATGGGATACAATCTTGGATGACAGCTAAACCACTGCACAAAGCAAAACAATGACAATAGAAATTTGTAGAAAGAAGATAAATCTTTTTATTTTTTATCTAAGATTAAAATACTGGAACTAAAATGCACAACAACTTGGAGCCAAATAAAAAGCAGCTGCAGTTTGTTTGACTATCTTAAAAGGATTGTTTTTTAATCCTTGTGAGCTCATCTCACCACAGAGAAGAACCTAAACGTTTGCTATATGGACTGCAGTGTGTTTTGTATTTGGATGCCACCTTCATGTGTGGTGCGCTGGTGTTCATGTTGGTCTGACCGCTTCCGTAGTTTACATACAGAGACATAATGACAAAGCAATGTTATCCACCTCTGACTTTTTATGGACTAACAAGGCATGTGAAATACACAAAAAATAAGCTAAAATTAGGGAATTCCATATGGGAAAAATTAAATGAGTCACTCTTTAAACTGCATGAGGTTGTAAACATCGCACGCTTTAATCACAAGCGTCTACCCCTCCCCTCAATCATCGGCACCCATTAACTGTAAAATCTTCAAAGATTTTATATAGTTTTACACCATAAATTAGTCAGAACAAACAGCTTCTTCAGAATATTTAGCTATTTTAAAACACTACTTCTCCATCTCACACAAGCACACAGACTGTTTTAATACTTAATAGGTTTGGGGGGGGGGGGGGGGG